GTACAAGGTACAAATCTAGAAAACTTAAAAATGGTAAAAAAAAAGAGAAGAAATGTTTGTTGGCTAATATTCTAGACAATGAGTGGCTGGAAATAGACTGGTATTATCATTTTGGATCATTAAATAATATAGTCTACAATATAATCTATTATGCCAGGATTGAGGAATTGAAGAGGGTTGGCATTATAATTGTCAAAAAGAACATGTCAAGATCTTTTTCTGAATTATAACTCTGTGAATGGTATGAAAATACCCACATACCTACAAGGAAGAACAGGTTAGAATCCTTATTATTCAAACTTAGGCATCAACTAATAGTGCCAAAGATAAAGATTTTGACAAAAATCTTCAGTTTAAAATCAAGCAAACATGCAATCAAGATGCACTGAGAAATACTGGTGACTGTGATGTAGAAGTTGGAAATAAAAAAGAACAATAGTTGGAAAATATGGCTATGGTAATAGCATGAGAGAGATCACATAACATATTTACATAAGACCAATGACCTATTCACTGGAAATATCAACAACACAAACAATGACTACACACTTGCATCTTGCTGGATGGAATATGTAAGAAACAAACTGACTACATCTGTGGAGAGTGACTGGACAAGCTCAGTATCATTCTCAGAACAAGGCCTGGGCCAGCTGTGGAGCAGACCATCAATTGCTCATATGCATGTTCAAATTAATGTTTAAGATAATTAACACAAGTCCAGGAAGACAAAGCACAATTTTGCATATATCATACCTGAATGCAGAAACTGTCTCAAGAATAGATTTTATGCTGTGACCATTAATGACTGAAGATGAGAGGAGTTGTGGAATGACATCAAATACATCATCCATGAAGAAAGCAAAAGGTTATATAAAACACAGTAAAGAAAGAAAAGACCAAAATGGGTGTCAGAAGAGACTCTGGAATTTGCTCCTGAAAGTAGAGAAACTAAAAAGTGAAAGGAAGAAATGATGAAGTAAAAGAGTTGAGCAGATTTCAAAGGCAAATGTAATAAAACCAAGCAAATTATTATAATTAAATATTCAAAGACCTGCAAGAACACGGTTGACACTTCTCACATTGAAAGAACTGAAGAAAGAAAAAGATAAAGTCTTTGACTTGCAATATTGAAGGATTCTATGGGCAAAATAATGAGTACAAAAAACTGAAGGAAGATGGAAGGCAATAGTGAGTTACCGTATTAAAAGCAACTGGTTCAATCATGTCAGTATCCGAAACTTATAGTTTCAAGTAAGAAGTCAAAGCTACACTGAAAGCAAATGTTTCAATAGCTGATGAAATAATGAGATGTTCAACAAATGGATATAATGCTAGACTTGTTCTCTTATCTATGTCAAGAAATCTGGCCACATCACAAGAAGATAAAGGTAAACAACACAAATGAAAAATGGGAACAGGCTATGGACACTTCACCAAAGAAGACATTCAGATGGCAAACAAGCACATGAAGAAATGAAAAATCCCTAGCTCTAAGAGAGATGCAAATCAAAACAATTATGAGATATCATCTCACCACAGTCA